ACCACCCCCTCCTCATCCACAAGGTCAACAAGGCTCCCGAATTGCAGCCCCAATCCCTCCCATTCCCGCCCAGCGGCCACGCCCAACAACACGCGTCCCACCCCTAGGACCTGCTCCAACCGTAGACCTATCATCCATCCGCTTCGTCTGCCAACGGAGTGGTCGACTCGAGGGCTTGATCCCACGTGAGGCGGTGGAGATAAGGATGGGCAGGGTACCGACGGACTGGACGATCGCACAGTTGGCAACGAGTCTTTCGGCACAGGGTGCGAGGATTGAGGGGTATAAGATGTGGTTGTATATTTCGAGAAGGTTGTTGGAACATAATGAGACGGTGAGCGATATGATGAGATCGTTGATAATGAATGGGATGGATACTGTTAATGTGTATGATAAGAGGAAGAATAGACCTTGATCGTGAATGGGGTGGATGCTGTTAAGGTGTATGATATGCGGAAAAATAAATGGTAGATGTGAGGGGGAGTGGGATGGGAGGAGGATGGGGAATGATTTGGCTGCGGAGATGCAATGAGACGGCGCGATGGTCTCTTCGCATTGAAGTTTTAGAATGAGATTGCAATAAAATTAGAAGAATTGGAAAAAAAAGTGGAGGCACTTTTCGGTAAACGTGCACAAGCGAGAAGAAAAAAGGGGGGTTAGAGTTTGGATAGAGATGGTGAATTCTCAGCCAAGCTCCAACTGTATATAACCAACAACACTTTTGTAAACGAATGGTATATCTTTGAAAACAATTAAACCCGTTTGCCATCTCGGTACGCCAATCCAGAACTCCCACACCACGAAAACTCGTTCCAAAAACAACAGTTGTGAAAAAAACAAGCCTTGAAATTCCATATCATGAAGATTGCTTTTGATGTGCCTCCGAAGCAGCCATTAAACACATGGGACACCGCGATATACACATTCGGTCACTCGAAGTGCTGATGTTTGAAGTTCGAATTGGTGAGAGGTTTTAGCGTAGACGCGATGTGGATAGGTGGCTGGCCGTTGTGTCGCACTAAGGCTGGCAGTGGCAGTTTCTCCATGTCAAATTCTGGATTGAAAGTCAGCAAAGATTCAACATGATGAGAACAAGACTATCTCACTGTAGAATGTTCGATGTCTCCTCGTAATGACGATATCACCCAATGCCAACAACACCGTGGCGATGCCAATTGAAACTACAACAAATTCGACAGCCGAGACTAGGAAATGTGTGTGAGCAAAAGCTGGAAAGTAGGAAGTCCAAGTACCAACCCATTTGAAATTCTGTGGAGAGGATTCCGTAAAACATGGTTTGGCTCCAATACTCAATGGTAGACTGGAGAGAATATGAAGGGGGATCTAACGAGGATAATAAATATTTTGAGAAGCAAGGTATAGTTTCAAGGTGGAACAGGTTCTATGCCGACCAACAGCCACTGCAAATCCTAGTTCCTGTAGCAGCCCTACGTAAGTGAGGGGAATGACACGAATATGGGGTTCGCTTAGATATTGGTGGCGTGGTCGCGGCCGATTCTGATTGTACGCACAGAGAACCCTAGGCCTCTAGACCCGTCAGGTGGGGTTATCGTAACCGTAAGGGACATGGCGAAAAGCTTCAGAAAGCCACGCGTCGGTTTGAAGACGTCTAAGGCTGAAAACCCCACCCCATTCTTGAATTTCTACGTGAAAAGGCTTCCAACGTACAAACTATCCTTATAGTTCATACTGTTGGATTCTATCACGCACTTGCGCGCCTTGATCTTGGCGTTTGCGGGATGAATATTCTGACATGTGGTCAACGGCTATGGAATGGCCCGTTTTGAGGCCCGTTTTGCGGTGAAGACCGTTCGTTTATCTTGCATTGCCAAGTCCAAGGTGTGACTTTCCAGGAATGTCATGAGAATATTGCTGATCCTATCAAGGGAACTTTCCAAGTTTTCCGATATCGTGCCTTCAATAACAGCCGGATTAATAACAAGCAAACCAGTGATACGACGCATGTGGTAATCAACATTGGGAAAGGATGACGCTGGAACTACCGTGTGCGAGTGTAGCAGCAGACTGCGAAAGTTGCAGAAAACAACCTTAGGAAGTAAGTGAAGAACCGTGATGTCTCTTTCGGTACCCTTGAGTCTCAAGTACATAATTTCAGCCAGTCAAAGAAAACGTTTGAGCAGCATGGCATATCACGTATACTCGCTAGGTTCTTTCGGTGACCGAAAGAAACGTCTGCTTGACCATAGACGGCACGGACCGGTAACATATTTGTCCCCTTGCCGTGTTTTTGTTACTCGCAATGGGAAAGAACGCTCCATAACGAGGTACACGATATGACTAGAAGAAGGCTGGCAGGAAACGGGAGAAAAGCAATTCGTGGGTGATCAGCAAGCCTTTGTAATAGACTCGTTGCTGCAATAGACTCGTAAGCAACAATGACGCAGGCGTCGCCAGATCAACTGAGAAGATCATCAAAACAGAGAAGTCATTTGAAGCGGCTGCTACGCCAAATCCTCACTTGAGCATCTGGTGAAGCTGAAGAGTCTCCACCCCTTTCGTACCTACTACAGACAGCCGAAACCCCACAGAATATCATTCTGAGCCAACTTGAGTGCTATACTTCCCTCTAGTTCGGATAGGCACAAGTCGAAATCGAAATTGAGGGGATTCGGGGAGGAGACGTTCGAATTGGAACTGTCCATTATTTCTCGTGTATGGAGTATCTTGGTGTTGTCGACGAGTTTCCAAATCGGGTCGGGTGACTCGTGAAAATGCGACACGTGATACGAATCTTTGTGCGGCCCGCATTTCCAAACATGCCAGACCAATCGGTTCGCATGCCTTTCTAAGCACGAACGACCGCGGCATCTTCACAACATTATTTCTTGACGAGCATCAACTCATCACCGGTTGTCTCCACAATATACCCAACATGACTCTTCACACGCGCGGTAAAGAGATCAAGATAAGGAAAGTTAAGCAGATTAAGCGCGCGAACCTCGGCATCTCCTCAAGTCTGTCAATTTAACTTTATTGCCATCTTTCCTTCTTGTGATGGCATGCATGTGTAAGCGTCATACTCTCGTCTCATATCTTTTCTTTGCCTCCTTTTCAACACATAGATTTGCTGTTCCCTAGATTTCAATACTAGATTTCAATACTGGGTTTCATTTACATCCTTTCCTGTTACATTCAAAATCATCAACATGAGTAAAGCAGGAGATTTCGCCCCTGTCCGTCAGGATATTGCAAAGCTTCTACACCAACCAGAGTACGACGATGGGAGTGCAGGTCCGGTACTCGTGCGACTTGCATGGTAGGTTGCCATCGTCCCTTGCATGAACACGAACATGAACATGAACATTTCTTTTCCCGCTTATCAAGACTAATAGCTGAAAGGCACTCTGCCGGAACATACGATGCAGAAACTGATACTGGTGGATCGAATGGAGCCGGCATGCGATATGAAGCTGAAGGAGGGGACCCCGCGAATGCCGGATTACAACATGCACGCGTCTTCCTAGAGCCAGTCAAAGCCAAGTACCCATGGATTACATACGCCGACCTTTGGACGCTCGCGGGAGTTGTGGCGATCAAGGAGATGGGAGGTCCTGATATTCCATGGCTGGGAGGACGAACGGATTATGTTGATGATTCGAAATTGCCACCCAGGGGACGACTTCCGGATGCGGCTCAGGGGGGTGATCATCTACGATGGATTTTCAACAGAATGGGGTTCAATGATCAGGAAATTGTCGCGCTTTCTGGAGCACATAATCTTGGTCGCTGTCATAGTGATCGTTCGGGATTCGAAGGAGCTTGGGTCAACAATCCTACTCGATTTTCAAACCAATACTTTAGACTCCTCTTGTCTTTGCAATGGAAGAAAAAGACCTTGGCAAACGGCCTGGAGCAATTCGTCAACTACGACGAGGACTCGGAAACTGAGTTGATGATGTTGCCGACCGACATTGCTCTCACCCAAGACAAAGCATTCATGAAATACGTCGAGTTATACGCCAGGGACAAGGAGACATTCTTTGCGGATTTCACCAAAGTCTTCTCCAAACTCATCGAGTTGGGCATCGTGAGGGATGGAGAGGGAAAGATCTTGAATACAGACAACCAAAAGGGTGGATATCATTCTGCTCCCAAGAAGTCTGGAAAACCAGGAAGTCCGGCCAAATCGACGGACGACAAGGTATCACCAAGCGAGGCTGCACCACTGAAGGATCAGAACGAGAAGTTTCAGGCAAAACTGTAATATGTGGTGTATAAGAGATGTACAACATGAACTAGACTTAGATTTTAGACAAGACAGACTTTGCAAGAAATCGAAAGCATTTTTACGGTTTCCGTCCTTCACGACTCATATTTTTCAAGCTTTAACCTTGACAATCATTATCCTCAGCAAGTATTAAAAAGTCCTTAGTCCTTCTAGAATAGTTACGCTATATACCGATTGTCAGATGGGAAGACAGACTAGGTAAATCATTTTGCCGGCATTACCAGATCTCAACGCTTGTCTTCCTATAACTATTTTGGAACGTCGGTACAAGCGTGTAAAGTCCACTCGCCCGCCTATAGGCCTTTAAGGTACAGGTAGACTTCAATCGGTCCAGAAATCTACCTACTGTCCCAGTAATTCAAAAAGAGAAGGAGAAAAGGAGCAACAAACAAACAAGGCAAGTACGAACCACACCCCCCTCCCCCCTTCCCAAACCTACAATACCTACAGTTAGACCTCCAAAACCAGGTCGCTCCCCATCTCCCAATCCCCTCCATACCTACAAAAACCCCAAAACATCCCTAAAAAACCAGAAATGCGTTTCTTCGCCCGCTCATCCTCACTCGAAGATCCATCATCCCCCACATCTCCCCAAAACCCCTCACCAAAAACCGCCTCCGCATCCGCAGCTTTAAAATCCACCTACTCGTACATCAATCCCCTACCCCCAACCCCAACCCCACCAAGCATCACACCCCCCAAACCAGCATTGAGTATCCTGCCTACTTACCCCATCACCACATCTACCTCGCGAGAGGCATCGAGGACGTCGAGGAATGATGGGGAGGGGTCGTCGGTATACGCACAGACACAAAGNCCTGCCTACTTACCCCATCACCACATCTACCTCGCGAGAGGCATCGAGGACGTCGAGGAATGATGGGGAGGGGTCGTCGGTATACGCACAGACACAAAGTCTTGCCAGCTCAGTATACGTACAAAGCCCACATACGTCTGAGAAATCGCGTAGGCTACTTGAGGTATATGATCCGAAGGTTGCGGGGACGGGTGAGGTATTGGCTGGGAAGGAGATGGTGATGAAGAGGGTGGTGGAGGATGTTTTGTGGTGTGCTGTGAGGGTGCAGAGGCATGAGTGGGTTTTGGGGGCGGGGAGTGAGATGTTTGGGGAGTGTGAGTTTTTCTTTTCTTGTTTTCTTTTTCTTGTTTACCTTTACTTTTGGATTTGCGTTTGGGGAGGGGAGGGGATGCTGAGGGTTGTGTTTAGTGAAGACGGTGGAGAGGTGGGATGTCATACATACGGATATTCAACGCTATGGTTTGTCTCGACCCATTCCATTGGATTTGATAGAGAGCTGCTGCTGATGAAAAGACTACAGTCCAAGCACTGGCGACTTACGAACACCTCTCTTCTCAAGACCCCAAGACTCAACTCCTAGATCTCTGCTCCCTCACAACATGGAGACAAATCCATCGTCTCGGCCGCACCCTCGCAACCCTCGAATGCGCACACCACCACCTCTCAAAACCATACAATGAATCATACAACGAGTCCCTCGAGCCCATCATCCAAGAACTCACCCATTCCCTAAGCACCTCCATAACCACCCTCTGCAATAGCACCATCAACAGCAACAGTAACAGCAAAACCAAAACCCTCCCCTTCCCCATCCAAGTAAGGAAATCCTCACAGTCCTCACAAACACGCAGCACGAGAATCGTTCCTAGATCCACCATCGCCACGCTTGCGGGATGTGCATTGATAGTCCCGGTGCTGTTGATAGTACTCGGTTCTGAAATGGTTTGTGGACTCTTTACGACTAGTTCTTTTGCCTTGGCTGTGGGATTGGTGTTAGCTTGTCGGTTGAGGGAGGGAGAGAGAGAGGATGTTGGGAGGGTTGTGGTGGTTTATTTGGGGGTTTGGATGGTGCTTCAGGCTTTTGAGTATGGGGCTGGTGTTTCTGTTTCTGCTTGAGATGGTGTAGCTGTAGTAGAGGTTGGATAATTGGATGGTGGTATGGTGGATGGTTTATCCCTTGCTTCCGAGGTTCTCTGAAGCGAATCGATTGAGAGAAGCTTTTCTTGGATTTTGGAAGCCTTCTGGGATTGAGCTAGGAATAGTATACGGAGGTAGCCGCCAATAAGTCAATTCTTCTAGGAAAACCCAGAATTGCTTGCCTCGATAAAGAAAGGAAAATGGTTTCCTTGAGAACTCAAAAGCAAAGTCAGGTCCCAAGGAAACTATATATATATAATTTACCTTTGATCTTTTTCAACATTTTCAAAAGGGGATTTTTTTCTCGTTTTTAACCGAACACCCCGCCCCCTTTTCCAAAGAAATAATAAAAAATAAAAAAAGATTGTTCAAGGGTTGGGTTCAGTTGGCGTACATTGTCCCGCGCTGACATGCAGGTCGACCCCTGAAACCCGTGCCATGGTGAGGTATGGGGTTGGGTTGTTGATTGGCGAGATTTCTGAGCCAATGGGAGGGTTTTGGGGTAACACGTTCGCTACCTATCCTTGGATATCCAATGATGGTTGCTTTGATATGTCTATACTTCCTTCCTCCCTCCCTCAAACACACGTCACATCACTGCAATGCACTTTTGTCAGCTACATACTTCTACAGTATCTCCGGGTAGAGGCTTGAGTAGAGGCCTGAGTAGAGTGCTGGGTAAGTGAGGGGTGTACAGTAAGCGATTTCCAACGAAACGTTACGGTGCGGTAGTCGTCAAACCGTCTGTACCCGTATAGTACTGTACAGTATGCTGGACCGAGTCTAAATTAAAGATTAGGTTGTGCTTGTCACACTCTCCAGGTTCGTGCAGAGGATTTGATTTGATATGGTGGTCGCGTCTCTTCATCGCTTGCCTTGAGAGGTGAGAGAGGCTCTTGATAGGAGAGGCACCAGGAGGTGCTTGGGTTGACTGAGGGACAGGACAGGCATAGGGCAGAGGAGCAGAGTGGGGGTACATTCCCGGTTAATCTACCCGTACGGTACTGTACGAGTAGACTGTAGCTCAACGAGTCCTAGCTTTGGCTTTGGCTTCTAGAAATTAAACTTCATATGAGGTGACGCTGTGCGCTAATGCGGAATAGCTCTGCGAGGACGAAACGTAGGGTCTAACTGGGACTGGGACTGGGACTGGGAGTATGTACTCGACACACTAGGTACCTAGAAGTTAGAACCGGGGGGGTGGTATGCTGTAGCTACCTACTACTACCCTCCGTACTGTAAGCTAACTTTACTCGTACCCGACGGTACAGATACGGGCAATTTCAACCATCGCCAGTCCCACCATGATCCCTCTCTCTACTCACTGATCGCTGCCCATGGACTTGTTGTACCTACTGTACTTGTACCGCCCTCAACCACATTTCACTTTTCTCGCGCACATGTTCATCACCAGCAACCAATCATCCCCACGGTCCTCTGCAGGTTGCTCTGCAGCTTCCTCTGCGTCCCTCTGACCCTGAGCCTGCCCTGTCCTGTGCTTGACCTCAACATCCAGGCTTTGCTACAGTATCACGTCGCCTCTCAGCCCCATCCCCGTCCCCGTCCCTCGCTGTCCCCTCGCTGTCCATTCATCGCGACTACTCGTACGCTCCGTACAGTGCGATTTTGCCCTTGAGAGGCCCAGCACAAGTCGCATCCAGCAGCACAGCACAGCACAGCGCAGTACACTCCAATCTCTGCCTCTACCTCTGGTCCCTGCGAGTCACCTCCGCCACGCTCACGCCGACCTCCTCCCTACATATTTATATCCATATATCTTCCCCCCGCGCTATGTCCAACCCCGATCCCCAAACTCCCACCAGGTCGCGACAACTCAACAGCAGCAACAACCATGGTGTCTCGGTACCATCCCCTCAGCATGATGATGCCTACGATGCTTCGATAGTGGGTGCTTTAGCACACGGAGGGAACATCAACGCCACCGCAAACACCCTGGATTTGAACGAGAAAAGTGCTGGGCAAAACGCTGGATTCACCTTGTCGTTCCCCGCCATCGACGAGACTTCGACGTCCACCCTCCACTCCCGCTTCCAGACAAACACAATTGCGCCGTCCCCGCCTCCCTCTCGTACTTCTATACTTTCTACAAAAGACGCGAATCTGACACCCCTCGATACGACTTCTCAAGGCAGCGGTCCCGAAAGCCAAGGACCCCAATCGAGCACTTTAAGTGCGGGTCTACGAATTCAAACCGATAATATACCCAATTATACCGTTACAGCAGCGGGTGCGCAAAATACCACTCGGAGTGTAAGTGCAAGTGAGTCAACAACGAAAGCACATCTCGGCTCGGCGAACATTCCTATAAAACGAACTCCAAGCATTAAAAATATATTGGCAAGCAGTGTAGGAAGTAACAGCTCTACACCCAACTCGGCCTGGTCATCGCCTATGCTCAATGCCATGGCAGATGTTACACCCCTCCCTTCTCCATTGATGTCGGGCGATTCTCCGGGTCCTTGGAAAAAGCTTTCGGCCATGGGATCTCGGCCTGTGTCCAGAGATATCATGATTAGTGCGGATGCAGCGTTAGTGACGGCGAATGGCGAGTCGATATCATCGGCTGTGGCGAACCAAATCAAAAGAAGGGCTTACCAAGGGCTGATTTCAGGTTCTGGAGATTCAGATCTTTCCCATGCACAGGTGAACCAACAGAAGAATGCCGAAAGGCATACGAGAAATAGGAGTTTGAGCGAGTATACGCCAGAGGCCATGCAAGTTCCCAAAGTTCGGCACATCACAGTGTCTAGTTCCCACGCGCCAAAACTTGATGGGTCTACGGATGCCACCGATAGCACCATGCGAAGAGAGCCTCATTTGGCGGTGCAAAGAGGTCTAGCTGGTGCCCCGAGACCTCCAACACCACCCTCAAGTCGTACGGGTGGTGAAAGTAGTGATAGTGATTCGTCTTTGTCCAATGCTCTTCCACGGGTACAGAGGAAACCCCGTTATGACTACTTCGAAGCCATTACGCGCCACGATTCCAAAAGGAGGAGATGGAGAGGGGTGAAGCTACTAGGTCAAGGCACATTCAGCAAAGTGGTACTTGCGACCAGCCAACGTCCAGATGTAGAGGACAGGATAGATGAAAACCAGGTATTTGGTCAAAGAATGGACGGTATCATCGCCCCGCCTCAAGCTGAGCCGAAAATCGACCGCAAGAAGCTGGTTGCCATAAAGATATGTGAGCATGGACCTAAAGGTGGAGCTTCCGAGGAACGTGTTGAGATGTCATTAAAACGTGAGCTGGAAATTATGAAATCCATAAATCATCCCTCACTTGTACATCTCACAGCCTTCAGTATTGAAGAAACCCGCGCCATTCTGGTCCTGAGTTATTGTCCAGGAGGGGATCTGTTTGAAGTTGCAAGTCAACATCGCGATGTTCTTGGACCGGGGTTACTAAGAAGAATGTTGGCCGAGCTGGTAGGAGCGGTGAGGTATCTGCACGAGAGGCATATCGTGCATCGAGATATCAAGCTCGAGAGTATGTACTTTCATTATTCATGTGATTGTGTAATTAACGCTTTGGATAGATGTTCTTGTCAATATTCCACATACGGAACTTTCCAAGCCCACCGATTGGGCCACTTATCCATACTCGGTCATCACCCTGACTGATCTCGGGCTGTCAAGGCGAGTTGCGGATGACGAGAAACTCACCACCCGCTGCGGATCTGATGACTATGCTGCACCTGAGGTCATCATGGGTCAGCCTTATGATGGTCGGGCCACAGACGCTTGGTCCCTGGGTGTATTGCTCTATGCGCTACTAGAAGCCAGGCTACCATTCGATCCCAATCCAGCCATGCCAGAGGGACACAAACAACGAAGTCGAACGAGTCATCGCATCGCTCGTGTCGAATGGCGGTGGATCGAATACGCCGGCGAGGAAGGGGATCACGAAGGCAACCCTGATCTCTTCAAAGAGAGACATCTCGAGGGTGCCATGAGTGTTACCGAGAATCTCCTGAAGCGAGCGAGGAGTCGATGGACCATGGACCAGGTCGCGGAACATGAGTGGGTGAAGCAGGGGATTTCGGTGGAGGGTGGCATCAGATTCCGGGAAGAGGAGACGCCTGAGGAGGTTTTGTCGTCTGTGTCGGCGTCTACTGCTGTTGCTGGTGTTGCTGAGGGGGTTATTACGCCGTTATAGCAGTGATTAAAAAGTTTTTTTTTCCTTTCTCTCTTCTTCCTTTTTTCATTGGTCTGATATATATTTTTCTTTGCTTAAAGATATTTACTTTTCTCCCCTTTTCCATTCTATTCTATTCTATTCTATTCTTTAGACCAAGGCAAGGCTGTTTACTTCGCCTTGTTGTTCTCTTTTGTGTAGGGTTGCTGCATTTTTTTTTCCTTTTTTTTCTTCTGGACTTTTGGAACCATGACTGGGGGGGGGGTTTGTTTTTTCGGAAGTCATTGGTTTCTTGGTGGACGGTAACCGATGTTTTGGGATAACTTCTTTTTTTTGTTCTTCTTTTTTCTTGGGTTTTTTTTGATTTGGATTGTTTCTTCATTAGCGAAATAGGGGTTTGTGGGGGTTTTGTGGGGGTTTTCGTGGGTAGAGATACCATGGTTTTTTCTTCTTTCTTCTTTTTTTGTTTTCTTACTTTCTTCTTTTGGTCTTTTGGTCTTTTCTTAAACTTGTGGGATTGATGGATTGTTGGGCATTCTTGTGTGAGTGAGCTTTTTTAGAGAGAGAGAGGGATTCTTGTATGTATATTTTTGGTGAGGTGGTTCTATTACATTCTATTCTAACTTGTTTTATTCATGATTGGATTGTTCGTTGTGGTGTTGTTGTGGGATTGTTGTGGAGAGGAGATAGATGGGGGTAAGGGGGGAAGGGGGAGAGGGAGGGAATGGGAGCAGCAGGGGNGATTGTTCGTTGTGGTGTTGTTGTGGGATTGTTGTGGAGAGGAGATAGATGGGGGTAAGGGGGGAAGGGGGAGAGGGAGGGAATGGGAGAGGGGGTTTGGTGGGTGGGGAGAGAGGGAGAGGGGGAGAGATGGGGTGAGGAGAGAGGGAAGGAGTGGAGAGAGGTTACTTTATCTATCTACCTAGGTACCCAAACTTTCACTGTACCCAATTAGATGGATGGATTGATGGATGGATAGATGGATGGATAGATGGATGGATGGATGGATGGATAGATGGATGGATAGATGGATGGATAGATGGATGGATAGATGGATGGATAGATGGATGGATAGATGGATGGATAGATGGATGGATAGATGGATGGATAGATGGATGGATTGATTGACAGGCGGATAAGCTGTGTTGGATTGGATTGCATTGTATAGGATAGAAAAGGGAAGAAGGAATGGAACTCATGTAGTTACAGTAGATGTATTTATAGATGACACTTTTTTGAAAGAGGAAAAAAAGGGATGGTGAAGGGGATAGATAAACAGGGGGAGAAAGGGGAAGAGGGGAATAGTTGTACTCTAGTAGCTATTTGAAATACCTTACCTCTCTTTTTTCACTTTGTAGATTAGTATGTTGGTATGTTGGTAGGTTGACAGGATTCACTTTCTGTAAGATTACTGTATCTTTAAATTTCTGCTTTCTATGGGGGTTTGCTATGGAGGCTTGCTATGGAGGCTTGCTATAGCCTATACCTCCGTAGTTGTAGCGCTGCGTAGTTGTAGTTACAAGAAAACTCATATCTTTCTTTCTTTATAAATTAGCTAGCTACTTCATCACCATCTCACCCCTTTACTATTACTTTTTCAAACTTCATACTAATAAAAGACGAAATCTTCAAATGATAGTGTGTAGGCGAGTAGCTGGGCTTGGGGTAATGGGAATGTGTGATTATGTTTTGGTTTTCGTATTTGTGTTATATTGAAAACAGACTTAGGCACGCACGATAAATCTTAGTCTTAGGTTAGGCTAATGGTGTTTGAGTTTCAATGTTTATGTTATATTAATTTCATGTTTATATTTACTTTGTATTTAGTTTTGTATTTAGTTTGTATATATTAATGACAGGTGGTTAGTATAGTAAGTAGTTAAGATATCGAGATATCTAGCGTTCGGTAACTAGAATTCTATTCCCTACCAGACCCCCCCTATAGAATATACCATACCATTTGTGCGAATCTCTAGAATATACTATTCTATATAGGGTAGTTCTATAGTATACTATAGAACGAAGTTATATAACTTAGAAAAGGTTTCCTTAGTCCGATTAACTAATAGAAAGCTATAAATTTAGCTAGTACTAAAGGTTCGTACGTACTATTCTTATTAATACTATTAATAGTATTACGAGTAAAGTATAATATAGCCCTTCTATATATATACTTCTCTATAAGTAGCTCGATAAAAAGTCTCTATATAGGTAGTTTCGCTAAGATAATTCTTTTAATAGACTTTAAATCGCGATAAAGAGATTAAGAATACTAATATTATAACGGCGCTAGAGCGTATATAGGTATAGTTATATACGTTTAATTAATATTTACTTCTTTTAAATCCTACTTTCTAATTAGTTACTATATACTTTAGAATTCTATAATTTTATAGAATTCTAGAGCTTATTCGATAGAAATAAGTATATGATTTATAAGAACGTCTAAGTATATTCTATATAGAATAAACTTATAGAATCTATAGAATCGAGTACTATTTACCGAACGTGTGACGGTTCTCACCGCCACCACGCTACAGACCAGCCCTGGCTGGAACCCGGCGGCCACCATGCGTCAAACGAGCCCCTGGCTGAGACTCGGCTAAGGCATGGCCCTTGGCGCCACCTCCTGTATTTAAGAGCCTCTGGCTCTTGAGCTTCTGTCCTTCCTTCTCTTCTCTCCTTAGCTTAGAATCTTCGAATAGACAGTTCTACGATTCCATAACCTACACCTTGGACGCTCCTTGAGCAACATATCGTACGTGTCGTCACAGAACGCTAATATTATAGTTTATACTTTTAACGTTCTACTTCTTATAAAAACTCCTATAGCCTATACCTCTATAGTTATACTATACTTCTAAGAGAAGTTATATCTTTATAATTATATAAAGATATACTTAAGTAAATTTTATAAATAGCGTCTTAAATTCTCGTAGTTAAGTTAAGTAGTATTATCTTATTACCTTAACTCGAGTAGTATTTATATCTATTTAACTTAACTCGCTAAGTACTTAATTAACTTATAAGTTACTTGAGTAGTATTAGCCTAATTAGTTCGCCTACGTATATATAACTTAGTTAAGAGCCCCTAGAGTATATTAAGTATATACTATTATATAGTTATTTAAGGAGAAGTTTCTTATATTTTAGTTATATTATATATAACTAGCTCTTTAGAAACTCGGTAGTAGAGATTCTTATATATATATAGAAATTCTATAAATAAGTTAAGCCTAATTAAATAAGTAAAAGTAGAGATTTAAGTACTATAAAGTAGAATCCTAGGAATAAAGGTGTGAGAATGCACGTCTAGGACAGTACAGGTTGATAGATTAAATTGACTACGAGGAGCGAAAGAGGTCCCAGGACCTGAAGCTATTTGAAGTTGAGCTCGTCGCCTCGTGGCTCACGTGACTAAAACCACATTCACTATACACAAATCAAAATCGTCACATAAGGTCCTCCCTTAATCCCCTGGATGCCAGTCTGTATCTCTCAAATCATTCCCCTCACCACTACTAGTAGTAGTGCTTTATGGGTCTTCTTCGGAGTCTCCTGTCTCTTCTAGCCCACGAATTTCCTGTTCTTTTGCCACTAAACGCTCCCTTCTACTCGGTTTCAACTTCCGAGGGAAGTCTTTCTCGAACTTTTTAATACTCCCGGAAGCCTTTATTATGTTAACTAGTGGTTCCCACGTCTCTTCGTCGTAACCCCTCCAACGGATCAGGTATTCAAAGCCGCGGGTCTTTGTGCGACGGCTGTCACAGATCTTGTCGATCAGATATTCTGGTTGGCCAGAAGCATCCACTGAAATAGGTGGTAGCGGGGGGTTCTTTTGTCCTGGTAAAGGCTTGCCAGGTGCTGGTTTCAGGCGATTGGTGTGGAATACTGGGTGGATACCGCTAAGCTCGTACGGGAGCTGTAACTCGTAGGCGTGGGAGTTGACGATTCTAGTAACTCGATAAGGTCCGATATACTTCTGATCAAACTTTGGGATAGGTTTTGCTGAGGTGATATTCTTTGTTCTTAGTAAAACCATGTCCCCAACTCTATAGGCCGGAGCAGGGCGTCGGTTAGCGTTTGCAAACTCTTCCATCTTATCTTGGGCAACACTGAGATTAGCTCGCAACATGGACAGGATATCGTCCATCTTTTGAGTAAACTCCAGTGCTTCGTTGTACCGCAATCGTAGGTGCTGAGGAGAATCCCTAGGGATAGAACGTGGTGAGCCGAAAGACATTCGAGGGTGATAACCGTGGTTTGCAAAGAAGGGTGACATGCCTGTAGAAGAGCTAGCTGCGTTACGCATTGCAAACTCTGCCATTGGCAGGAGCTTCTTCCAGTTGGTTTGGGCGTAATCGACGTATTGGCGGAGGAATTGGTTAAGCCACTT